CCCGTGTAGTAAATGGTGACTGATGCACGTTAAATCTGTCGAGTCTCAAAGTCCTCCATGTTCCCACAACAAATCAATACCTCTGGGGGTACTGATCCAGGAGTTTCCTTGTCTTCTGGATTGGTTCAAAATTACAAGGCTACGGAGTTGAACGTAAGTAGTCGTATACCCATGAAATTGGGTCGGCTGCTCAACGACGGTTATAAAATAAAATAAAATAAAACAACCCGATATTATTAAATACATAAAAATAAATTGAATGAATTGGATGGCCTACGTGATTCGAATGAGTGATGACAATACAATAAAAAAGATGCAACTATTTAAACCCGCTGGAACAAGAAAGCGGGATGGTCACGGTCGAGATGAGCTGACTCGGTGAAGTCTGATTTTCTTGCAATTAATGAAAAGAATCTGAGATCAAAGATAAATCGGAAGTCATTATGGCGAAATCTTCAGAGGAAGGCATTGGCCCACATTGGGCTGTCTGGCCAACTATGATGATGATGAGTTGTACAAAAATAATGTAGTGTTTGCTATCACTGGCTAAGTGCTAAATAAACATTAATCCATCATAATGAAACACAGAACATTACTTACTACTTTCAACCAATGTTGGGATACAATGGGTTTTCAGATCAAAAACTGCACCATTCCGAGCTATGCTGACAAAGTTAAAACAATACTCTTGATATCCATCTTCAAAAATATCACAAGATAACTTGGTGGCGTGTTTACCGTTGATTATTCTGCTTTCTCTGATATATTTTAGAGGGCCTTTTACTGATTTACCATAAACACGTATTCTGTCTTGATCCAAAATGCATCTCGGGTAATGATAGATTACAGATAGACTTCCATCGCAAGGTTGTATAGACCTTTTAGCAACACTCACAGAATAGCGATGACTCCATATCACTAAAATTATATCACTCGATGCGATTTTGGAAGCGTCTTTTCTCACGTGGACCTAGAAAAAAAATTTATAATTTAACTTTGTCAGAGCAATTACAAATCAATACAAATTATTCATTAACCATTATTACTCCAACAGACAATGTAATACTAGATATCTAGACCATGTCCAATTTTGCCAAAAAATTAAATATTGCGGGAAAAAAAAAATCTTCAAACTAAAATTTGCAGAATTATGGTTAATTCTGAAAACATGTTTAAGATCTAGGGTTGTTCTTTAACCCGGAAAAAGAGAAAAAAAACTACTTCTTATTTTCGTGGAGGCTCAGGGGAGGGAGCATTTGCCTCCCAATGAAGGGAGTTGGGTTCGAATCGATAAGCAACGACCTCAGTGCTGATGTAAAGTATCATCAGTGGTAGACGGATCATGGGTTAGAGTCCCCTTGCTGCCAATCTAACCCTGTGAGGTTTTCATGGTTTTCTTCTCCTCGTAACGTAAACGCGGGTCAGTTTTATCAAACAGTCCCCCGCGATGACTAATTTCTCCCTATGCTTGACCCAAGAATTACCTTTTCTTTCGGATTGGGTTCAAAATTACAAAACTACGGAGCCAAACATTTTTTTCTTAATAATGGCAGGCACTGAACTTTCGTTCTTCGCCTTAGAAGATGCCGGAGGAGTTGCTCATTTATCGTTACCCGGTGGGCACCTGTAAACCAAAGTCACTAAGGTGAGCAACACTACTCACTCCACGCTGCCACAGATACCTGTTTATAAGGTGGGCCACATTCACACAACAGAAGACAACATACAGAGAAACAATGCTCTCAGCGGGATTCGAAACCGCATTCAGGCAAGCTGACCACCAGACCACCCAGCAGACGGGAGTTGAACATAGATAACTAAAAATTGGGTCGGCAGTTTAACGACAGGACACCCGGTGGCTGAGTGGTAGCGCTTTGCTCTCCCGTGCCACAGGTCCTGGGTTCAATCCTCGGGCTTTTGATTCAGCCTATCATCCCTACAGTGGGTCGATAAATGAGTACGAAGCATGCTTGGCACCTAAACACTGGGGGTTCCGCGTTCGGCTGACCACCTGACCGGAACATCTGCTCCTGCACCCCAGAGTTCAAGGTCAAGAAAACTGAGATGGACACAGTAGGCCTTGGCCCTCTATAGGCTTTCGTGCCACTGAGTTTAGTTAGGTTTAGTTCAACGACAGTTATGAAAATAAAGTAAAATTAAACAATCACCTTCAGAGGAGGGGGCAGAATTATTATTATTATTTTTTATTTTTTTTTGAGGTGGACATTTTTTAAGCCTATTTTTTGTTGCCCAGAAATATAAGTCAAACTTTTTCTTTTACTTACTGAATAATTTCCAGCTCTGTCAAAAAATTCACAACCCAATGTTACATCAAAAGAAGAGTTCCACATCCAGTCTGTTAGTTGTTTGCTTGTAAGAATGGTGGGTTTAAGCCAAGCATCAACCACAGAGCCTTCGTAAAGTAAATCAACAAATATTTGGTAGTCTACACGAGGTCTGCATTTAAGATGATCGGTATAAAGTTGAACAATAACATTAGAACTGTAAGTTTCTACCATCAAAGGCACATGAATAGCCACTTCAGGCCATAATGCATTAACATAATTTGATTCTGTAAGTAATTCACCCTGAAAAAAATCAGTATTCAGTAATCAGCATTCAGTAATCAATATTCAGCAATCAATATGTAATTTCGTGCATAATTGTTTATAAGTTATAATCCATTGAAATGCCATCAACAAAAAGTTGTTTCCATATTTCAAAATCCTGATATGAAAAAAATAATAGCAAATATTTGTTTGTTCAGTGCTCAAAAAACGAAAAAAAAACCGGACCATTCTGAATGACTTTTGATCTAATGATTGAATCTTCACGTTCTATGACTCATTCTTGAGAGGGGGATCTCAAATATGCTAATTAATTAATGCAGATAATATTTTAAGTTACGAAATCAGACACAAAAACGTGCTTTCTCTGAGTAAACATAAATTTCTTTCAAAGGATTCGGATTTCTGGTCCCGATTTAGATTCGGATTCTAGTCGTAATCTGAAAAATATGGTACCATTAGTCTGGCCAGGAGAGCGATCCTAAGTTTGAACCCCCAAATATTATTTTTACTTTTTGCGTATTTCGCTATATCTCGTGAAATTTTTAAGCGAATTGAAACATTTTTGCACACAGTTATAAAATTTGTTTATCATATAAGATATTTCCATGCAAAAAATATATTTTAGTAAATATTTATTTTTATTAGTTTATTAAATAATAGTCGATGGAAAATTGAACCGCAAGGTACACAATTTTTTACATTATTTTAAAGTATGTTATTTTGCATGGCAAAATGCAAATTTTGAGTGAAATTGGTTAAATAGTTCCTGAGAAATCAAATTTTAAGTATACGCCTTTTTGAAATACTCAGGGAGCGATTCAACCGATATCGCTTAAATATTTTTGCCCTTTGTATTGTTTCTCTAACTGTAAAGAGTCAATATGTCAGTATTGATTGCGACTGGATAGTTTTTAGCGTCAAATAAACCGCAACATTCTATTTATTTCTAAATCAATTTTTTATTAAATTTAAAAGCCTCGTTTAACATCTAGCTAGCACTGTACCATCACCTCTTAATATAGAAAGCTTCCACACGGCATTTTATAAGTAGTCTGAGCAGATTATTTAAAAAGGGAACCAGTTGTGCGCATGAACCCAAATTCTATTTTATGAGTAATTAACACTAAACATACCAACACTTAATACATAGCTATTTCTACCATAGCCGGTCAAATGACTGGACTTTAGGATTCTTGATTGAATGCATGAAATATGGATGTTAGGAAGAAAATAAACAAAAAAGAAACTTTATTATAATTAAACAAAATTGTTTATTGCCAATTTCTTTGTATTACAAACACAAAGAATAAGAATTTTTAATTCATTGCTCAACGCATTTTTTACATGTAGAGGGTTATTCCATTGTACATTATCCGCAAACACATTTCTTCTAATTATTATTATTGCTATAATTCCTATAATTATTCTTATAATTATAATAATATATAAGAGTTATAATTCTCATAATTATTCTTCTAATTATGATAATATATACGAATTATAGTTCTTATAATTATTCCTATAATTATAATAATATATACGAATTATAATTCTCATAATTATTCTTCTAATTATGATAATATATGCGAATTATAGTTCTTATAATTATTCTTATAATTATAATAATATATAAGAATTATAATTCTCATAATTAATATTATTTATTCTAAGAACTTGTGCTGTCTTGATTGTTTCGAAATGTTTCTGGGTAAAAACTAACAGTTAGCTTGATTGATTGATTGAATGTAGGGTTTAGTGGCACAAAGTACAACTAACAGTTAGTTAGAAATTAATCAAAATAAAATATAAGCTACTAAATATTTAGTTTTTCTCACTTTTTCTTACAAAAAATGGCAATCTAAAACTTTAGGTACTTTCTTGAAATTTTAATTCGCAGTTATTCTGATTGAACTAACTACGCAAGAGTCTTTGCAAAAATGTGCAATTATAATCGAATGCGAAACGTTGAACACGCATTACATCATAATTTCTGATCCGATAACCTTAAAAAGCAATAAATTATTCACCCGGTAAAATGACCGGTTGTGGTAAAAATAGGTATACGACAAGTATTATTCGAAACAAACAAAATATTAAAAAAAAGTAATAATAGAATATTAGCTGTTTATAATTGTTAGAAAAAGTTACGAAGTCAAATGCGCAAAAACGATAAGATGATAAGCGCATTTTCGATGCAAAAGTTCTTAAAAGGTCATTTGACCGATTATGGTATGTTCAGTTGAACTTGAACTGAGTTCTATTCCAGTGTACCTGTCCGCGAAGCAGACACTTCACACTTTCATCTGAAGGTGTGCCCGTGGGCACCTGTAATAATGGCATTGCAAGTGAATAATGGCGGTGAATTGCGGTGGCGGTGGAATTGCGGTGGCGATTAAATAACACTAGCGGATGGTTAAGATTGGTATAAGTCTCTGCTATAACAGTGATCCGGTCGTCCTGGTATTCAACCACTTGTACCGGGTTGCTCACTGTACTGATATTAATGGACTACGGCTTGCCCGGATCGGACCCTGGTATGTCCAGTGTTAAGAGAAATTTATCATATATACTTGAGAATTTAATCTGTAGTGATTGATAAGAAAATAAGACAAATAATCATATTCATAAATAATAAAAAAATTTGACATAGATTTGCTACCACTTTCTTATTTTTGCCAGATTTTCTATTAAATTGTTCTTTCATAAGTTTATGACCAGTTTACTGGCTTATTTTCAAAGTGGACTGATCGGACTACCTATTAAAAACTGTGTGGAGGCTTTCAGTTACGGAGGCGTTGGTTTTACTGGGCTCGACCACGACCCACTATTACATATCTGCCAACTTTTAATACCTTTCATTTTGATTTTTCCCAGTGGTATTAAAATGGAATTATAATTTCAATTTTAAGCAAAAAATTATGTTGTAATTGAAAAGCTTAAGCAGACAAATATGAAAGTAACGCAAACTAATATAGATGCTTAATTTTTTTAAGAATAGAGGAGAACAAAATCATTTAAAAATTAAGTTTATAAAAGAAAAAATAGTATATATTTACTACCACCTTAAATATAAAAATAAAATTTTACGCCAAATGCGTAATAGTTGGCAGGTATGCTATTACATTTCCCTCGGCCCTGGACCAAGCATTATAGCTAAGGAACCATTAAAGCATTAACCCTTTATATCACATTGTTGCATATCTGCAACATACACAAAGAGCCTATGTCTTCGCCCCAACAAATTTTGAAGGACGATTTCGGCGATTGTCGGCCAAAACCAGTGCGCTAAGATGAAATTGGGCACTGGCTTAATTGGGCTAACAAAAGAATCAGATGCAAATACCCAAAATGCAAAGGATTTACACAAACTATTCGTGAGAAATGTGGTGTAGGACTTTGTTTCAACAAAAGTAGCAACTGTTTTAAAAAATTTCATATGAATTAAAATTTTTGAATCTTTCAATCTTAGTGCCATTTTTCACAATGTTGCAGGAATGCAACAAGCACTTTTTTGTCATTTTGCATAAGGTTGCAGAAATGCAACAATAAATTTTTTTCAAATAATTTTTTTTATTTTATTTTATTTTTTTATTATTTTTTACATGCTTAGAATGATGTGTTCTAATGTGTGAGTAATTTTTATTAAAATCAGAGATGTTGAGATATAAAGGGTTAAATGTATCTATAGTTAAATGGTTAGAGAGAGAATAAAATAGTACCTGAGCAGCATTTAGAAGTTTAAAAACATATTGACCAGCAGCCTGAAACGTTCCGCAAGGAAAAATAATTTTTCCCTTTATCATATTTGTCGGAAGAATTCTTGTTGCAATGGATTTTTCTCCATCAGTATCATTCTGAAACAACTGGATTCGAAGACTGAGATTAGAGATGGAAATTCCAAAGGAAACTTCAATATCTCCAGAAAACAGAATGTGCGTTTCAGCAGTTGAAAGCCAGTACCCGCCATTTACTGTAAGCAAAAGAAAATAATTTTATAACTCGAATAACTCTCAATCCTGCTAACAGAGAGATTTTCATGGTTAACCTCTTCTTTCAACTTAACTGCAGGTTAGTTGAACTTAAAATTCCTTCACAATGGTAGGTGTGTTAGAATGCATGACATTTAATCTCCTTTGTGTAAGGTTTACGTAAAAATTACTCAAGGCTAAGAAGCAGAACTTTATTCGACATTTTTAATACGGTTTTTCGATTCATAATCGATTAGAACCGGTTTAGTTTCTCCAGCACTTAAAAACTACTTTCCATGATTATGATAATTCCTTTTATACTCCTTTAAATTGTATAGGTACAGTGCACCAAAAAAAAGAAAGAAAGAAAACGGACCACGATGAATAACCCTTGATCTAATGATTGGATCTTTACGCTGTAGAATTCACTCTTAATGGTTTGAAGTGGTGATCTCAAATATGATAATTAATAAGTCAATACGATAAATTCAAGAAAATAAAATCAGACACAAAAACGTACATTCTCTGAATAAACATAACTTTTTTTTCAGCGGATTCGGTTTTCTGACTCCCAAAATATAGGGGGGAGCCGCAGTCAGGGAAATATGATCCCCATAAATTTAGGAAATATTTACTATTTTTCTTTGTTTAATTTAATAACAGTAGTAAAATTTTGAATTGTAAGATAGATGCATTTTTACACAATTTTAAAATATCTAATTTTACATGCGAAAATACAAATTTTGAGCAAAATTGGTCGAATAGTTTCTGAGAAATCGAATTTTAAATATATGAATATGCTGAAAGTTGATTTCTCAGGAACCATTCAACCAATTTCGCTCTAATTTTGTACATGCAAAATTAGATACTTTAAAAATATGTGAAAATTGTATACCTTACAATTCAAAATTTTTTTGACTGTTACTAAATAAAATAATAAACAAAAAATACTTACTTCTATTTTTTGCAAGGATATATCTTCGGATGAGCGAATTTTATAATTGTGTGCAAAGATTTTTCAATTCGCTTATAAAGCTCTGGAGAAATGGCGAAATACGCAGCAATAAAATTAAAGTTAAAAGGGCCAAATCGCTCTCCTGATCAAATTATGGTCACCATATTTGCCAAACTGTGGCTACCCCTTATATTTTGAGAGACAGAAATTCACATCCGCTGAAAAAAGGTGTGTTTATTCAGAGAAAGTAGTTGTTTGAGTCTTCGTTTTTTCAATTTGTCGTATTCGCTTATTAACCCTTTCGAAGGCTGTGGGAATTATGCTTACCACCACTTTTAGTTTAGGTTTCCATTTGTTAATAACTTCAGCTTTCTTGAAGTTCGGTTGAATAAAATTGATAACCATTTGTTAGTTTAAAAAAACGCATAAAATTTATAAAATACATAATTCCTTTTGAAGATTGTAGCATTTACAAAATTTATTTTATAAATAAAGAAAAATAAAAGTCAATAAGTTCCTTGTTGGTCATGTTAAATATATTTACCACCAAAAAAATTTTTATTTTCATAAACTAAATTAGTTTTTTTTTCTTATATCAATTACTATTCTTAAAACAATTTCAATTCCAAAAATACTTTAATTTACCTTTTTCTAGAAATAAATGGTCCTTTGAAGGGTTAATTAGCATATCTGAGATCACCATGTTAAACCATTAAGATTCCATGTCAAACCATAAATTCTAGAACGCGAAGATCCGATCATTAGATCATGTGTTATTCTGGGACATCACCATTATTTTTTTTTTGACATTTTTTTAAAGTTCTCAAGAAATACTTAAGAGGACTATGTTGTAACTTCAGAGGTGTTAAGTTCATGTTATTTTTTATAAGGTTTAGAGCCTTTGAAGGTTTTATTGACCGACAATAAATAGCGAAAGAAAACAAGTATTTTTGAACACTCTAGTCCAGAAAATCAGTCAATAAGTTTGTAATTGGTGTCGATTACTTTGGTTGTTAATTGAAATAACTGCATAGAATTTCGTTTACCTAGCTTAAAAATTTATAGAAATATGTTATGTCAGTATAGGTTATCATTGGGTTATGTAATTTGTCATACTACAAAATAAATTTTGCGGAAAACCCACAATCATTTTGAGCTTCTTTTTGAAAAATACAAAATACACTTGAAATTTGCTTGAAACATTTTAAATTTTTGAAATATTTAAATCCATTCAATTTTAAAAGTATTCAAACTTTTCCATTTATCAAATTCGATCCGCTACGAAATTGAGAAAAATTTTAAATTTACACCGTGCATGCGCTTTACAAATCAACTACTTTATATACTCATATCTTGCACAGTTTGTAACGAACTTTTTTTTTCGAATTTTAGAATAATAATTTTGCATTTAGTTTTAAATTGCTGCAAAAATTTTGTCTAATTTTATTGAATATTTTTAAAGTTATAGCAAAAATACGTAAGGCAAAAAAATTAATTTTTTTAAAAAATCTTCATAAATAGGTTTGCAAAATTTTATGCAGTTATTGCAAATAACAATCAAAATAATCGCTACGAGTTACGAGCTTATTGCTTGATTTTTCTTGCATAGGATGTTCAAAAATATCTGTTTTCTTTCGTAATTTATTATAGGTCCCTTAAACCTCCGAAAGCTCTAAACTTTATTGCTAAGAATATTAATCGCACGAGCTAAGCACCTCTATATTTCCAAAAAAAAAGTCATCTTGAGTATTTCTTGGGAAATTCAAAAAAAATGTAAAAAACTTAAAGGGTCTCTTCCATAATTGTAGGTTGTAGGATAGTATCCAATGCGCCAGAAAAAAAAAATAAAAATAAATAAAATTGATCACCTAGAATAACTTTTGATGTAATTGATCTTCACTTTCTACAATTTAATCTTAATGGTTTGAAATGTTGATCTCAAATAAGCTAATTAATAAGTGATTACGATAATTTAAAAATAGTCCTCTTAGTAATTCTTTAGAAATTTAGAAAAATGTCAAAAATTAAAAGTGTCTCTTTCATTATTGTAGGGTAATATATATATATATATAT